GCACTTAACCACTAAGCCACATCTCCAGCACTTTTAACATTTTTTTTTTTTTTTTTTTTTTTTTGAGACAGGGTCTCACTAAGTTGTTTGGAGCCTCACTAAGTTGCTAAGGCTGGCTTTGAACCTGCAATCCTCCTGCCTCAGCCTCCTGAGCTGCTAGGATTACAGGCATTGCCACCACAACTGGCCTAAAAAGTACTTCTGCCCATGATGGCAGCTCGGGGCTCCCCCTGCCTCAGCATGTCACTCCTATGCCATTTCTCTGCACTTCTTGATGATGCCAGATGCATACAAACTGGAAACTCACATTCACATCCAGGAAACGGAGATACTCGCGGCCAAATGAGCCTTCAGGGAGGCTCTGGAGCTTGCCCAGGTCCAGGGTGGACAGTGAGATCCTGGGACGCTCCCTGAAAGGCAGAAAGCAAGACCGGATATTAGGAGGTACCAGCAAAGGCAGGTGAAAGGCCCAGTTAGAGTAAACTTTGGTTGGGGGTGAGGACACAGGGCAGCATTTAACCACAGCACTAAAGGAGAATCTACTTGCCAGGCCAGTTTGGGGACTGAGGAGACTACCACAAACCAAGGACATAGGAAGATAGACTACATATGTACTAAAGGGGAAGGGTACAGCTAGCACATGTTTTGTGAGCTTAATGAAGGTACGGAGTCCTGTGGCTGAGCTGGTCTGAGCTGCCACCTTGTACAACCCAAAGGTGGTCATACTACACACACATATATATCAGTGGTGCCCCTGGAGTTGGGCAGTGCCCAGCCTGTGCAATGTCCATGGTCAGGGTATCAAGAAGAGATCCCTAAAAGAACAGGGCTGATAAAATATGACTCTAGAAAAGTCAGGATCCCTAGAGAACTATCGCTTCTTGGCCTTTTGGCTAAGATATGTGCAGGATACCTAGAGAATGACTTCAAGTCCCCAGGTAGAGCTGGGACCTACTGTAGGATCTGGGCACCCTCTGGATCCTTCCTCATCTGGTCTCTGAGGACCTTCAGGGTCCAGCATCCTGTGGTCTCCCCAAGAACTGCAATCATGTCTGAAATGACAGAGAAGGGCACAGATAGGGAACGTGATCTTAGGTAAGTTACTCGACTTGGTCTTATCCTTGGTTTTCTACACTATAAAACAGAGATAATATCTGCCTCTTAGTTATAGTAATCCATTTTAAATGAGCTTAGCATATCACCTAGCACACAGCTTAGACTCAATATATCTATGATTTATTTTATGTTATTAATCTTCTGGGGTGGCTTTGGTTAGCACAGTGCTCTAAAGACTTTATAAATCATTTCACATTCATTATCACAAAAGAATATCATGTCTGCATTGACTGGAACAGACTCTGGTATGTGTCTGAGACTAGCTACGATCTATTTAGGTGAACTTACACAAATTGCTTCACACTAAGCCTCAGAATCCTAATTTGTAAAGTGTAGATTACACCTTTCATAGAGGGTTAATGTGAGAAATCCAGAAAAATCATGTTATATAAAATATTTAGCACAGTGCTTAAGGAGCAGTTGTCATTATTATTCTCAGTAAGAGTGATAGTACTTTCTAGAACTTAAAAATCCTGGAAAGGACACTATAGGATCTTTTTTTTTTTTAAAGTATTTATTTTTTAGTTGTAGTTGAACACAATACCTTTATTTATTTTTAAAAAGAGAGAGAGAGAATTTTTTTTAAATATTTATTTCTTAGTTTTCAGCAGACACAACATCTTTGTTTGTATGTGGTGCTGAGGATTGAACCCAGGCCGCACTCATGCCAGGTGAGCTCACTACCTACCGCTTGAGCCACATCCCCAGCCCCCTTTATTTATTTTTATGCGGTTCTGAGGATAGAACCCAGAGCACGCACATGCTAGGCGAGTGCTCTACCGCTGAGCTGAGCCACAACCCCAGCCCCAACTATAGGATCTTAAGAACTGTCTAGCAGCCAAGTGTGGTGGTCCACTTCTGTAACACCAGTGATTCAGGAGGTTGAGGCAGGAGGATCACAAGTTTGAGGCCTGACCCTGTCTCAAAATAAATAAAAGGGCTGAGGATATAGCTCAATGGTAGAGTACCCCTGGATTCAATCCCCAGTACCACTTAAACAAAAAAGTGTTCTAGGGGCCAGGGAGACTTGGCCCTTCAAGAACAGCATCTGAGCCAGGTGCGGTGGTATATGCCTGTAGTCGCAGCAGTTTGGGAGGCTGAGGTAGGAGGATCGCAAGTTCAAAGCCAGCCTTGGCAAAAGCAAGGCACTAAGTAACTCAGTGAGACCCTGTCTCTAAATAAAAGATACAAAATAAGGCTGGTGATGTGGCTCAGTAGTCAAGTGCCCCTGAGTTCAATCCCTGGTACCCACCCCCCCACAAAAAATAAATAAATAAAGCAGCATCTGGTTGGAAATTGCCTCGCCTGCCACACCTGTTATAGAGGCCAGGAAACTCCAATTCCTCCTCCAGAAATGAGCCCTGAGCAGACTCCTGATTCCTCCTGGGCCCAGGGACCCTCATCTGCAGGCCTCCATGGCTGGGTGCCAAGTAATTTGGTCTTTAGCCATGCCTGCACTCCTTACCAGAGGCGACCTTCCTTATGCACTGGTGAGCATAGCCCCTTTCCTGTGCCCTGGTCCATCCTATAGAATAACCCCTGGATTGTGATCATAAACATTTTGTTTACCTTCTCCCCATTACAACCCTGGGCATCATGAGGAGGGGCTATGCCCACCAGGGTGCCTGTGGTGGGGAGGGGGCACAGTGGTTAGTCAGCCTGTGTAGGGCCATCTGGGCTTTTACACAGGCTGGTCAGAGACCCTGGACAGCTTCTGATGAGTTAGCTTGTAGAAATTGCCCAGGGCCCTGCAAATGTCAGCAGCAGTACTGATGTATAAGTTAGTGAGCCGCCACCATAGTAGGCATTTGAGCAGAGTTAGGAAGCAGAGGGGGTAAGATGGTATATCTTCAAAGAGAGGTCACTTCTAGAGATGATGCCTCTGTGGCCTAGGGGGGCCTCCCAGGTCAGGGCTCCCAGGTTAGGCCCAGCTGATGGAGGATGAAGTGGGTGATGGGTGGGTGTGGCCAGCCTGGCAGAGGAGACAAATATGACAACAATGTGACAAATGCCATGCTAGAGAAGGTCAGGGGTCATAGTTTGGCACAACTGGAGCAGAGAAGAGGCTCTTCTCAGGGATATTTGCCAGGCAGGTGTGGGAGGAGGTGAGCTCCCAGGCCATACCATGGGACATGTATATCCATGCTCCCCAGTGTTCTCTGTAGTTCTCCACTGTCCTTTCAGATCAGTCCTCCCCTGTGCCTGTCTCTCTGTCCCTTGTCCCACGTTGCCCAGTTCCTGGAACCAAATTTTGAGGAGGCCTGAGTTCCTCAGACCTCCAGATTCTGGGCCTTTTACTTAAGAACTCTGTCCAGGGGAACTGGACGCATAGGAAATAAAAAGCAGCAAGATAAATACTACTTGAATCTTCAACCAAGATGGTGTTTTCTATAAGTGCTGAGAAGGTTATAATTGGAAAGCCAGAATTCTCTTAGTTGCCTAGTCCTGAAGTTGGGTGCAGTTCAGTGGTACAGTACAAGTAGGAGGCTCTGGGTTCGGTTCCCAGTAATGGGGGGCTGTTTAGGGATGGGAATATAGCTGAAAGGTAGATCCCCCTCCCCCCCCCGCAAAAAAAATTCTAATTATACAGCCAGCAGACATTTATTGAGATTTGCTGAGTATTTACTATGTGTCAGGCACTATTCTAAATGCTGCAGATTCCGTGCATTCATGTTGTTCGACCTCATAAAATTTACTTTCTAGCAAGAATGTTGTTATTATCTACTTAGTATGAGGGATTGGAACCCAGGGGCGCTTAAGCCACATCATCGGCCCGCTTTTATTTTAATTTTGGAAACAGAACCTCGCTAAGTTGCTGAGGCTGGCTTTGAACTTGAGATCCTCTTGCTTTAGCCTCCCGAGCACCAGGGATTAAAGGCGTACGCCATAGCGCCCGGCTCTAGCGGGAATGTTATAATGTGACAGGTGCTTTTAAATTCTTTAGCCCAGGGGTTCTAAACACAGATGGATGACAGAATCTCCGGGAATTTTAAAAGATACATGATCAGACTCTGCACCCCTCTTTTTATCCCTCCCCGCCCCCTGCCTGGCAGATTTGGATTCAAAGAGTTTAGGCAGAAACCAGGCATCTGGTTTTTATAAATGTTTCTGGTGATTATGAGGTGAAGCAAGGTTTGGGTACCCCGACCCGGTCTATTCTCCAGGCACCCAGGAAAAAGGAGGCTTTGAGGTGGGGACCTGCCCAGGCTTCCAGGGCAAGGGCACCCCGACCTCTCGCTGCCGGGACAGAGCGCCCAGCACGCGCGGCCTTACCGTGGCGGTACGGGTCGTAGAGCGCCATTCCCGCCGAGCCCGCGGCGAGCAGCGCCTTCTGCAGCGGGGAGGTGGGGATGTGGTCCGGGTAGAGCCGGCTGGCGCCATGGATCCTGGCCCGGAAGGGCACATCTGCCGGGAAAGCAAAAGGCAGAGGTCAGACGAGCTCTGCGCCTGCACGCTCCTCCCGCCTCGGCCTGAGACCCAGCGCCACTTGCCTGCAGCCGGCCGGGTACTGCTGGAGAGCGGACGAAGGGGGAGCAGAGCCCGACACAGCAGCGTCGCCATGGCAGCGGGCGTCCACCGAAGGGCGGGCAGGGCAAGGCCGACGCTCTAAACTTCTCTGGGAACGGAGTGCCAGAGAGGTCAAAAACTAAGCTGCCTACGGCCTCTCGAGGGGAAACATCGTGGAACCGATAGGAAAGGGACCTAGCTAAGTATGAGAAGGAAACTCACGCACTTTATCTACCAGCAGTTTTCACTGATATAAGTTGCTCCCCGTTTCCCGCAACCCCAGAAAATTTCTCCAAAAAGACCTAATCCCGCTAGTTTTACAATTCTCTACCGGACCCTATTTCCTCCTCTCCCTCAGGTTTTCCCCCGAGGACAATAAGATAAGAACCTCTTCCGGCCAGGAAACATGGCGACGCCTATTGTAAGGACCACATTTGGAAAAGAACCGTACGACATTTCCGTTTGAATCCCAGCTTTTCCGAGAACCCGGGGCGCCAGGGGTGCGGGGGGCGTGGACTGTGGTCATGGGTCTGGCGCGGTTGAACGGGCTCTTCGCCGCCTATAAGCCCCCGGGGCTAAAGTGGCTGCACCTGCGGGATACTGTAGAGCAGCAGCTTCTGAAGGGTGAGTGCTTCGAACCCACCCACTATCCTGTTGAGGTTCTTTTAGGGGTCCCTCTCTGCTTCTTTCTATCCTTCCTGCAAAATAAAGTCATGTGACTGTTCTCCTGGGCAGAGCACTTTCCTATTCATCTGTTCTTATTCTCCACTATTTTCAGATGGGGAAATGCAGTATTGTATGTTGTCACACGGTGCATAATTAGAGTCAGGATTTGAACCCAAGTTGTCTTAACTGCTGCTATTTTGTGTCTTCTACATCATTTACTTCCCTGTCCCCTTCTCTTGCAGTTGTTCTGACAGAACTGGCAAGACATTTGTCTTTTTTCAGGTCTCAATGCCCCGAAGCCATCTGTTCCTGAACAGCGTGTTCGCTTCTTGTTGGGCCCCATGGAAGGCAATGAAGAGGAGCTGGCCCTCACAGCCACCAGTGTGCCCACCCTCACCAACCACAGGCTTGGTAAGGTAGATTCAGGCTGGATCTTGGTTAATACTTACCAGAAAATCCCTGACCTCCGTCAGTATCCCAGTGCTCAGATTCCTGGCCCAGGTCCTTGAAGTATTAGACCAGGGATTGGCAAACTTTCCTGGAAAGGGCCAGATTCTAAATATTGTAGGCTTTTCAGGCATGTGGTTTCTGTTGCAACTGTTCAGCTCTACCATTTCAGCACAAAACGGCACAAGACACTGTGGGAAAGAATGATTCTTTAAGATTGTCATGCAAAAAAGTCAGCTGTGTGTGTACCTGTAGACCCAGTGACTTAGGAGACTGGGGCAGAAGGGTCATTTGAGTCCAGGAGTTCCAGGCCAACCTGGGCAACATAGCAAGACCCCCATCTCTTAAAAACAACAGCAACAAAAGGACCCCCACAGGCTTGAGGATTTGGCCTATGGACTGTGTTTTACTGACTCTTTTATTATTCTAGGACTCCTGATATGAATTGAGACCTATAGGTAGAATTCTTAAGTAGGGATTTGGGACTTCTCAAAAAGAGTGACTTTTTTTTTTTTTTTAGTACTGGGAATTGAACCCAGAGACTCGTACATGCTAGGTAAGCACTCTACCACTAAGTTATTTTTTAATTTTTAACTTATTTTAAATTTTAAACATGGTCTCTCAAAGTTGCCCAGGCCAGCCTTAAGCTTGCCATCCTTCTGCCTCTGCCTCTTGAGTAGCTAGGATTACAGGTATGTGCCACTGTGCCTGGCAAGACTGACTTTTAAATCAGTAAAGTGGCTCAACAACAGAACTGTTTGCAGAAGCTGCCCTTGAACTTGCAGTCCTCCTGCCTTAGCCTCCAGAGTTGCTGGGATTACAGTGTGTACCATAGCCCCTGGCATGCCCAGTCCTCTTGAAGTCTCTCACTGGAAGACTGGTGAAAGGAAGAGTAAGAAACCTCTTGGGTTGTCCTTTCTCTGAGCCCTAAAGAACTAAGAAAATAGTTCTAGATCCCAGATTCCATGGAAAAAAGCCCGAGAGTATAGCCTGATCCTGATTTGAGGTACCATTCAAGGAATGAGGTCAGCATGCAGTGCAGAGTTATCCTGGAGGCTGGATTAATTGAGGAAATGGACCTTGCTGTTTTTTTCCAGTGTGTGGGCCAGCATTCACCAGCCTGAAGATTGGTGTGGGACATCGGCTGGATATCCAGTCTTCTGGGGTACTTGGTAGGTTGTGGGCAGCTTGAGGGTACAGTGATATGGTCTTAGGGAAGGACCAGGGAGCTACCATGAGCCCAGTGCACTTCACACCACTGCCTCTTCCCCTGATTCCTGCCCTGAGTCTCTGATCAGCTGGGGAATTGATTGGTAGGATGGAGGGAGTCACAAGAGGGAATCACAATTGCTTACTTTTATCAAGTGATTCTACCATGCGACATGACTCAAGACCTTTAATGTACATTTATTCACCACAATAACCTTACTTATTAGGTAGATTCTTTATAGTTTTATGATTAAAGAAAGTAAGAATTCAAGAGCTTGGGTGGCTTGGCTGGGTTCTGTGGCTAGTGAATGCCCCTGGTCCTGAGAGGGAACACCATCATCTCATCATGGGGCAGCCAGGCATGTGACTCTGGCCAGTGTCTGAGTATTGCCAGAGCTGGGCCCACAAAGCCCTGAGTCATAAGCTGTTTGTGTCCCCAAGGTCAGGTGTTGGTCTTAGTTCCTCAGCCTCAATGGCAATGGTCCCCTTGTCTTGCTTCTTGGAATATGGGAAGGCAGACATGATCTCATCTATCTTCCCTGCTCACCCTCTCCAAGAGTGAATGTGGGTTGTTCTCTCCTTCAGCCAGAGAAACAAGCAGACTGAGAGAGACACATGAAGTGGCCACAAAGGCCCCCATTTGTTGGGCCCTTACTTTGTGCCAACGAGCTTCCTGTGCACTGCCTTCTTCCATCTGCATGACACTCTCAGACATTGGACAGGATGCTTCTCTCTATTTTACCGATGCAGAGCTCAAGTCCCAAAGAAATTAAAAGTTATACTCAGAGACAACCAATATTTGATTACAAATCTATGGGTCTAGGCCACCCACAAAGTCTCTTATTTCTAAGTAGATAGAATCCCCTGAGAAACTTGCTAAGGACCCCAGACCCCTTCTCCACCTTGTGACAGATTCAGTACATATGGGCAAGGCCTAGAAATTGGTATCTTGAAGTATACCCAAAACTCACTCACTTCCTGCAGAGAAGGTTCTCTTTGCCACCTTGCTGGCTTGGGAAGCTTGGGAGTATTCTAATGGCAGCAGCTGGGGTGGGAATTTCCGGGGGGAATAGGAGGGAGATGCCAGGCATGAGATGAGACTGACTGCCTTTCAGTGCTTGGCGTGGGACGTGGACGAAGACTCCTCACCGACATGTATGATGCTCACCTCACCAAGGTAAGGGAACCAGTACAGCTTGCTTATCCCTTGGTCCTTTCCTGGGGATCACTAGCAATATTCTTTTCTTTTCTTTTTTCTTTTTTTTAAGAGAGAGAGAATTTTAATATTTTTTAGTTTTCAGCGGACACAACATCTTTGTATGTGGTGCTGAGGATCGAACCCGGGCCACACGCATGCCAGGCGAGCACGCTACCACTTGAGCCATATCCCCAGCCCACTAGCAGTATTCTGATGCGGAAGATACCATAGGGAACACCCAGGCCATCAGCAAACTTTTTTTATAATCATGTACTAGGAGAGACTGATATTGTGATGGTGACCAGTGCTGTTACTACGTGCCGACTGCTCCGCTCAACACTATACATACATTGCCATGGGGATCCCTCACCACTACCTGTAAGGTGGAATCTGTGGCTAATCCAGTTTTACAGATGAGAGACTGATTCTCACAGAGGGGACATACATATAGGGTCCCAAACTTTTTTTAAAAAAAAGTTTCCTGTGGTGCTAGGGATTAAATCCAAGGCCTTGTATGTGCTAGGCAAGTGACCTACCACAGAACTACCTCCCCAGCCCCACGAAGTCTTTAAGGCTTTAAGAACTGAAATTGTAACCTTCATTTGTCCCATACCAGAGCCTGGTCATGACACCATTTCATTCTTTCCCCAAGACTGAGAAGTGGCTGTCATCATCAAGTCCTCAAGGAGCTTCCTGTCCAAGGTGGGGCTGTGGACTCTGGTCCCATAATGTACATGCAGATTTACATGTTAGGGGACCTTGTCTTAATGTTAAAGAGCATAGATTCTGGAGTCATATGACTCCAGTTCAAAACCCAGCTTCAGGGCTGGGGATGTGGCTCAGTGGTAGAGGGCTTGCCCAGATGCATGCCCAGGGTTTGATCCCCAGCACTGCAAAAAATAAACAACTTCTATTTCTTTGCCAGCCATGTGTCCTTGGGTGGATCTCTTAACATCTGTGTACCTGTTTCCTCATCTTTAAAAAGGGAATGAGAATAATATTTCCTCTGCAGGTATATTAGCCAAGGTTTTCTAGAGGAACAGAATCAACAGGAAGTATAATTGTAAAAAGGGACTTATTAGGTTGCCTTATGTGACCAGAAGCTGGAGAGGCCACAATGGCTGTCTGCAGGCCAGAGAGCTGGGAGAACCAGTAGCTGCACAGTCCAAGAGGCTGAAGCCCGAGAACAAGAGAGATCAATGGTGCTACCCTAGCCTGAGACCTAAGCCTTCTGGAGAATCACTGTCTTCTTTGGAAGAGTGAAGAAGTGAAACAATTACCAAGTTGATACTTCTGCAAGGGAGGAAGCCAGAATTTGGTGAAATAGAGATATTTGTTGTTGCTAACCTACATTTTTAAAAGAAGATTCATGTGTTAATTATATAACTGAAAAATAAGGTAAAAAAGAACATTAAATGCCAATCATCTGATATATTCAGATGATTGCAGCAGCAATCAAGAACCTGTTCAAGAAGAAGCGAGCTTATGTCTGCTGTTGCTTCTTTGTTCTTCCAACTTTTATTCTATCCAAGCCATCATCCCATTGGTTGGTGCTGGCCACGCTTAGTGAGTGTCTCCATTGCAGTTGGCTATCTTACATGTCAGTCATTCCTAGGCATACCCTCATTGACACACCCATAATCTTAATCCTTGGCATCTCTTTTTTTAAATTTATTTTTTAGCTGTAGTTGGGACATAATGCCTTTATTTTATTCATTTATTTCTATATGGTACTGAGGGTCAGACCCAGGGCCTTGCACATTCTAGGCAAGCACTCTACTGCTGAGCCACAACCCCAGCCCTCCTTGACATCTATTAATCCAATCAAGTTGACAATGCAAATTAACCATTACAGCAGGGTTACTTTGAAGATTAAACTAATGACCACATGTAAATGCTGAGCCTAGCCCCTCGCACATCGTATATGCTCAGTAAATTCACTGTTATCACCAACTCTGCCCTCATCACTGCCTTCACTCTTTTTTCTTGCTGGACTTTGATTGAACCCTGAGCACTCTACCATTGAGCTCCGTATGGAAGAGGCAGTTAGCTGTGCAGAGTTGGAAGAAGGGGCCCTCCTGAGATCAGGGTGGCAGGAGGACTTGACATGACTGTGGAAAGCCTTGTTACCCTGGAGGGTAAAGAGCAGCTAACGGCATGCTGAGAGTCACTCATTGTTGGGTGGCTGGGTGGAGAAATGGAGAGGTGTGGGGTCGTTGCAGGGTGACGATCGGCACTCTTTGCTGGTGGGCTGGTTTAACATCACCATGAGATTGGCCCTGTCATGGTCCCCAGGTCACAGAAGAGAATTGGGGCATAAAGAGCAAGAGAGCTGCCCAAGCCCCGTAGCAGAGCTAGCACCCTTCCCTAGGGTCAGGGGCTGTACATGGGAGCTCCCTGAGCAGGACCCAAGGACCCCCACCCCAGCCTCAGCTTTCCTCTTCCTCTGCACCAGAGCTTGGAGTGGGAATTCTGATTGGATCTTCTTCCTGCCTCACAGGATTATACAGTGCGTGGTCTTCTAGGCAAAGCCACAGACGACTTCCATGAGGATGGACGACTGGTGGAGAAGACCACATATGGTAAGAGCCTGGGGTGGGTGGGAGCGGTGGCTGCCACTGCCCTCCACCTTGGCTTCGCAGTGAGCCCGTGTTCTGAGACATTCCATGGGATCTATTCATGTTCATTGGAAGAGGATTTTGAGTACCAGGCACTGGGGGAAAATGGTGAATCAGATGGGGGTCCCCAGCCTAGCACATGGATCCCACCTCTTCTGTAAAGGATAGAAAACATGAGGCAAAGCAACACTATATATTTGTACACATAAATATGTGTCAATGTCCAAAAAAACGCCTGGAAACAATTACCAAGTTGATACTTCTGCAAGGGAGGAAGCCAGAATTTGGTGAAATAGAGAGAGAGATTTGTTGTTGCTAACCTACATTTTTAAAAGAAGATTCATGTGTTAATTATATAACTGAAAAATAAGGTAAAAAAGAACATTAAATGCTAAGAAAGAGAGCCAACAGGAAGAAGCCACAGGATCCAGGAGGGGCTTCCTGGAAAACGGGAATCAAAGAGGGGGAGGAGGCAGTGGTAGGTACGTTCCAGGTAAGATGACAGGCAGTGTGAGGACAGCCAGGTCAAGAAGGCAGGGCCCTTCCAGGCTGGCAAACCTTCTGTCCTCACACCTGGTTCTAGAGCTCTGGCCCTTGCTACCAGAAGTTGATACTCGCCCCAGCTGGGCCCTAGGCTCCAGGCCAACTGGCAGTTTGTGAAAGTCTCCAGGCTGCTATAGTCACTTGGTGGGACCAGGTGTCAGAGCCATTCCCAGGTTGTTTTTTTTTTTTTTGCTTCTGTTTTTGTTTTGGTGGCACTGGGGATTAAATCCAGGGACAGTCTACCACTGACTGAATCTCCAGCCCATTTTTTTTGTTTTTCCCATATTTTTAAAAAATTTTATTTCTTCTTTTTAGATATACATAACAGTAAAGTGTATTTAAAAAAAAATTAGTTGTAGATGGACACAGTACCTTTTTATAAAAAATGTGGTGCTAAGGTTAGAACCCAGTGCCTCTCATGTGCTAGGCAAGCACTCTGCCATACTGAACTACAACCCCAACTCAAGTAAAACGTATTTTGACATATTATACGTGCATGAAGTATAACTTATTAGGATCCCATTCTTGTGGTTGTACATGGTGTGGAGTTTCACTGGTCGTATATTCATAGGAAAGTGATGTCCAATTCATTCTACTGTTTTTCCCATTCCCATTCCCCTTTTCTTCCTTTATTTCCTTTTGTCTAATCTAATGAACTTCTATTCTTCCCTCCCCTCTCCAGCCATTTTTATTTTTCATTTTGAGACAGGGTCTTGGTCAATTGCTGAGGATGGCCTTGAACCTAGAATCTTCCTGTTTCAGCCTCCCAAGAAGCTGGCACCACCACTCCAAGCTCCACTCTCACTCTTTACTTCCTGTTTCTACATTTGGGCAGGTAGCACCCTCCTCCAAGGGTCCCTGGCATGGAAAACCCCAGGCCAGGGCATAAGGGATGTGACTTAGGATATTCGGTGAGTCACATTAGGTCTTTGACCCTCCATTTCCAAAAGATGTTCTTTTTTTTTAATTTTAATTTTTATTTATTTATTTTTTTAGGGTAGATGGATACAACACAATGCCTTTATTTTTATGTGGTGCTGAGGATCAAACCTGGGTCCCGCCCGTGCTAGGCGAGCGCTCTACTGCTGAACCACAGTCCCAGCCCCAAGAAGATGTTCTTAAGCTGAGTCTGGATGGCCTTAGGGAATCTGTGGGCCCCTGGAAAATATCCTCAAAATTTCCTGGGTTGGGGCTATGGCTGAGTGGTAGAGCACCTACCTCACATATGTGAGGCACTGGGTTCGATCCTCAACACCACGTGAAAATAAATAAATAAAGATATTGTGTCCATCTACAACTAAAAAAAAATATATATATATATATAAAGTTCCTGTGTCTTTGCTAAGAAGAGGGTGCAGAGCTTTCATGAAGACTTTACTCAGAGGACATTCACTCCCTGGAACCCTTCTCTGGCTGATTTTAAGGATGGAGTTGGTTTGGAGGAAAGGAGCTTGCCAGTTTGCTGTCGCTTCTCCTCAATGGGTACCTGTGTACTGACACCCCACAACTGCGTTTTGCAGATCATGTGACTAGAGAGAAGCTGGACCGGATTCTGGCTGTTATCCAAGGCTCCCATCAGAAGGCCCTGGTGATGTAAGTGGGGTCCTGGGGAGGTGCTGGAACAACAGGAAGTGCCTGCAGAGCTCTCTGGGCTCTGCCTGCCCTGGACAGATCCCAAGGATCCTGTTTTTACAACTCAAAACTAAATGGAACTACCCGTTCCTCTCAGGGCATGCAGAAGTGTTTCTGCCAGGTCTTGTTCTGGCCACTGGGGAAATAAATAAATAAATAAATAAATAAAATAATAATAAATCACCACCAACAAAACATAAAACACCTGGGTGTGGTGGTACACACCTGTAATCCCAGCACTCAGGAGAAAAAGGCAGGAAGATCAAAAGTTCCAGGCCAGCCTCAGCAATTTAGCAAGACTCTGTGTCAAAATAAAAAGGGCTCGGGATATAGCTCACTGGTATAGCTCTTGCCCAGCATGTGCCAGGTTCTGAGTTCAATTCCCAGTACCATAAAAAATAAAATAGAAGCAGGATGGACAGGATGATGTGGGCACAAAGAGAGAAGAGTCTGGGAAAATATCCTGGGCCACTGGGGGTTGGGACAGGGAGGAGGAACCCATATTAGGCATGTTGTGGGTTACTTGGGTTGAGTGTGCAGTGCCTGCAGGATGATCAGGCTGAGATGCTGGAGCATAGGGCCCATCACCCTCTCAGCCTGGGTCACCAGTGAGTCCAGGGAACATGGGCAGAGGCTGCCTTTGGTGATTGAAGGGGACCAAATAAAGGAGGCTGCTCCAAAGGTGGCTGGAGAGTAGGGGGTAGGTGGGGAGCATAGAGCAAGTGAGAGGAAGCACCTTCCATGTTGGGGCAGGAGCTGGCTGCACCTCCACCCACACTACCCCCTGCTCCCCAGGTACTCTAACCTAGACCTGCAGTCCCAGGAGGCCTATGAGATGGCCACGAGAGGTGTGATCCGGCCCATGAACAAGTCCCCGATGTTGATCACTGGCATCCGGTGCCTCCATTTTGCACCTCCAGAGTTCCTCTTAGGTAAGCTGCCTCAAGAAGTTGGAGCTCCTGTGGAATGCTCTGGCAGGAGCCTGCCTCTCAGGCTCAGCCAAGGCAAGCACACGCCAACCCTGATCTCTGCTGATTAAGGCTTCAGGGGCCAATTTCCTTCCCACTCTGACCCAGACTTACCTGAACCCAGTGCAGCCCTGACTCCTGCCAAGTCAGCCTTTGAAGTCAGAACTGAACAGGCAGAGGTTCCAGAACAATCTCCATTGCTCTGGGCCCCTCCGACATCGCTGTCGTTTCCCCGGTCCTGCCCAGCTCAGGATCTTTGTTCCTTCTATGACTGTTAGTCATGTGAACAAGGGCTTTTCTTTTTTGGTACTGGAGCTTTACTCCAGGGCCACTTTACCACTGAGTCATATCCCCAGTCCTTTATATTTTTTGTATTTTATATTTTTTGAGTCAAAGTCTTGCTGAGTTGCTGAGGCTTGAACTTGCAATCCTCCTGCCTCAGCCTCCCTAGTTGTTGTGATTACAGGTGTGTACCACCATGCCAGGCTAACCAAGGCTTTTCTTGAGCACTGATCAAGACTCTGAATGCTAAGCACCATGTATAAATGATCTCTTATAATTCCTGTTTACAAATGAAGAAATGAGGTCTTGGAGTAAAACTTCTCAAATTCTCACCTGCCCCTTGGTTACCTGGGGGATTTCTTAAAAGGCAGGTTCCAACCCAGCAGTGCAGGTGGGGTCTTGGATCCTACATGTCTAACAAACTCTTAGGGGTCCCCATAGGACTGCATTCTGCACAGCAAGGCCTAGAAAGCTGAAGTGTTTTGCCAAGGCTATTACACCGTTGAGGCATCCAGACGCCAGAGGCGATTCGTGACCTCAGTGTCCATCCATGTCCCCGGCAGAGGTGCAGTGTATGCACGAGACACAGCAGCAGCTGCGCAAGCTGGTGCATGAGATCGGCCTGGAGCTGAAGACCACTGCTGTCTGCTCCCAAGTGCGGCGCACACGGGACGGCTTCTTCACACTGGATGATGCCCTCCTGAGGACTCACTGGGACCTACACAGCATCCAGGATGCCATCCAGGCTGCAGCGCCCCGGGTGGCAGCCGAGCTGGAAAAGAACCTGAAGCCAAGGTTGGGCACCCAGGAGCTCCCCAGTCCCGGCCCATCCTGGAACTCCGAAGGCCTGAGCTCTGCCTTGGAGGCAGGGAGCTGTGCAGGGCATTGATAGGCCAGGCTGTTGGCGGGGCAGTGGGCGCCATAGCATAAAGGCTCAGTATTCATGAGCCAGAACCAGTGAGTGTGAGGAATTGAGAATAAGAGAAGCTCTTCTACATGGACACAAAACTGAGTCTGTAATAGGAAAGATTAGTGGGCTTAACCCAATTGAAAAGGAAAAAACTCTGTATGGAGAAAGAGATGATAAACAAATGACAGACTAATAAAAAAATTTGCAGTATCTTTAACTAGGAACAGCATCCACAGGGTATATGCACACACACCTGTGCTTTTTTTTTTTTTCCTTTTTGTGTTTGAGCCAGGGCCTTCAGCATGCTGGACAAGTGCTTTACCACTGAGCTACATTCCCAGCCCAATCTATACCACATAAAGAACAATCAACAGTAAGAACAAAATGACAAGAAAATTGATATGGAAAAAAGAACACACACAATATGGTGATCATTTCATGTCATTTAGTATTCTTTTACAAGTATTTTTCCAAAAACAGTTGAGCAATGATTTGAACTGTGTGTGTATCAAAAGTAATCTAAGGGGCTGGGGCTGTAGCTCAGTGGTTGCCTAACGTGTGTGTGGCCCTGGGTTTCACCCCCAGCACTGAAAAACAAAAACCAAAAATCCAAGAAGCTAGTACACCAGAAATGGCCTTCAGCCTCCCTATAAGAAAATGAGAGGACTCTACTTGTCTCTCATAGTGGGAGAATTAATTAAAAGATAATAGGCCAGGCTGGAGATATAGCTCAGTTGATAGAGTGCTTGCCTCACATGTACAAGGCTCTGGGTTCAATCCCCAGCACCACACACACAAGGAAAAAAAAAAAAAAAAGTAATATGCTGTATTGGTGATGGGGCAAGAAAATGGGCCATCTGTGAAACTGTGCTCTCTTAGGAGTAATTGGTAGTGTGTATCAAAATTTAATCCTTCTGCCCTATGATCAAGCCACCATCAGGATTCTGTCCTCCTACATGGTTAGAGACATTTATATACAGACAACTGTCGTGGCTGTGTTTTAACAGTAAAAAGTGCAGGAGGTGGCAAATGCCTATAGTCCCAGCAGCTCAGGAGGCTGAAGCAGTTCAAGGCCAGCCTCAGCAACTTAGCAAGACCCTGTTTCAAAATCAAAAAGGGGTGGGAGGGCTGGGGATATAGCTAGCTCAGTTGGTAGAGTGCTTGTCTTGCATGCACAAGGCCCTGGGTTCTATCCCCAGCACCACAAAAAACAAAGTGGGGCTGGGGATGTGGTACAGTGGTTAAGCACCCCTGGGTTCAATCCCTGGTACTGGGGGGAAAAATGCAATGTAATTAATCCCTAGCAAGGGACTAGATAAATACACATGGCATAAAAGGCACAAAAGACTCTATTCCAATGTCCTGAAGGAAGTCAGAAAAAAACATTTTTCCTTTCAGTTTTATTTCTCTAGGCTCTAGACACTCTGGCCCCACATGTACTTTTTTTTTTTTTTAAAGAGAGAGAGGGCTGGGGATGTGGCTCAAGCAGTAGCGCGCTCGCCTGGCATGCGTGCAGTCCGGGTTCCATCCTCAGCACCACATACAAAGATGTTGTGTCCGCCAATAACTAAAAAATAAATATTAAAAAATTCTCTCTCTCTCTTTAAAAAAAAAAAAAAAGAGAGAATTTTAATATTTTTTTTAGTTTTTTCGGCGGACACAACACTTTGTTTGTATGTGGTGCTGAGGATCGAACCCGGGCGCTACCGCTTGAGCCACATCCCCAGCACCCCCACATGTACTTTTTAAAATATTTTAGTTGTAGATGAACACAGTACCTTTATCTTATTTATTTATTTTTATGCGATGCTGCGGATTGAACCTAGTGCCTCACACATGCTAGGCAAGTGCTCTAGCCACAACCCCAGCGGCCCGCCCCCCCCCACATGTACTTTTTTTCCCCACTCTAGTGGGAATTGAACCAAGAGCCTCACAAACACTACCTCTGAGTTACACCCCCAGCCCTTTTTTATTTTGAGGCAGGGTCTTTTTATATATATTTTTTTTTATTTTATTTTATTTTATTTATTTATTTATTTTGGTTGTAGTTGGACACAATACCTTTATTTCACTTATTTATTTTTATGTGGTGCTGAGGATGGAACCCAGAGTCTGGCCCATGCAAGGCGAGAGCTCTACCACTGAGCCACCACCGCAGCCCTTTCTTTTCTTTCTTTCTTTTTTTTTTTTTTTTTTTAATATTTTTAGTTTTAGGTGGATATAATATCTTTATTTTATTTTTATGTGGTGCCGAGGATCAAACCCAGAGCTTCACACATGCTAGGCGAGCATTCTACAACTTGAGCCACTACCCCAGTCCTTTAGGCAGGGTCTTTCTAAATTGCCCAGGCCGATCTCAAATTTTTAATCCTGCCTCAGCTCCTAAGTAGCTGGGATTATAGGCATGCACTGCAACACCTGGCTTTTCTTTTTTTTTCCCTTCCTCTTTGGCAGGGTTGTCTTTTCTATTATGTTTATTTCCCCTTGGGCTGCTTTGATTCTGAGGCAAGCACTGGAGTATCTCTTGTCTATATTGTCACCTGTGGAAACTGAGGCCCCACCACCATGACCCCTTTACCTACTCAAACAACCTGCAACTCTGAGCAGGGCTGAGCAGCTCTGGCTCAGCAGGTTTCTGGCCTTAAAAGTTCAGCTTCCTCATCCATGAAATGAGAATAATGATTTTGCCCATCTTGTTGTGGGAACAAATGAAGGTGGGTTTCCAGTGCTTCTCCCAGTGTCAGGCCTTCCCTCTACCTTTTGTCTTCTTGCACAAAGATCTGCCAGCTGAATACCTGACAAACAGGAACCTTAGCCAGGTGAGCAATCACCAGTCACAAGTCCTGCTGTTGGTGTGCACATTTGATTTGATGAAATTGGCCCTTTACCTTTGTGACCACTTCCTAAAGGTCCCTAACTCAATGGTTAATGAGGAAAACACCAAATAGACTCCAGTGGCAGGGCATTCTATGAAATACCCGGACAAGGTCAAAAACAAGGAAAGTCTTAAGAAACTGCCACAGCTAAGATTTGCCTAGAGATTGGACGACTGAGTAAGTATCTCCTGGGTGGGATCAGGAACAGAGAAAGGACAGTTGGAGGAAATAAGCAATTGAAATAAACTATACATTTTGGTTAATCGTGATGTAGAAATAAGGGTTCATTAATAAGCTTATTATACTAATAATGTAAGATGATAATACCATAATATAGGGCATGATGCCAAGTATGTAGGAATCCTGTTGTCCTCTGAGTTTTCTCTGCAAATAACTGTTTAAAAAAAAAACAGGCTTAGTGGCTCTTACCTGTAATCCCAGTGACTCAAGAGGCCGAGGCAGTAGGAAAACAAATTCAAAGCCAGCCTCAGCAACTTAGCAAGGCCCTGAGTAACTTGGTGAGACCCTCAAAATAAAAAAATAAGGGCTGGGGATGTGGCTCAAGCGGTAGCGCACTCGCCTGGCATGTGTGCGGCCCGGGTTCGATCCTCAGCACCACATACAAAGATGTTGTGTCCGCCGAAAACTAAAAAATAAATATTAAAAAAAAACTTCTCTCTCTCTCCCTCTCTCTCTCTCTCTTTAAAAAAAAATAAAAAAGGAATGGGGATGGGGGAACTCGGTGGTTAAGTGCCCCTGAGTCCAATTCCCAGTCCAAAAAAAAGTCTGGCGCTGTGGATGTAGTGTAGCATGGTATGCTTGATACCTTGGGTTCAGTGCCCAGCAGCACCTCCATCCCCCTGCAAAAAAAAAAAAAAAAGTCTAGTGAAAAACCTGGAAATATCTTTGAAAATCCAATTCTAGAACTGGAGATAAAGCTTAGTGGTAGAGTACTTGCCTAGCATCCATGAGGCTCTGGGTTCAATTCCCAACACTGGCCCCAAAAGACAAATCCTAGTCCCAACCCTTAGATTCTAATGCAGGTCTGAGGTGGGGCCCAGGCACCTGCGTTTTTAGCAGTTTCTTCATGTGACTACAATGCTAGTTCTTTAAGAAAGTGTGCTCCATTAGAGGCCAACAAGCAGCTGTCTTTTTCTTCTGATGTTTGGGATTGACAGAGTCCCACAAACGGAATGATTTTAACCATAAAAACTTACTGTCTTACTTCTGGAGTCTGAAAGCCTAAGACCAAAATGTCTGTAGGGTTGGCTCCTTCTGAGGCTGAGGGAGAGCCAGTACCATGCTGCTGCCTCCCTTCTGGTGGTTTGCTGGCAATCTTTGGTGTACTTTGGCTTGCAGAAGCATCCACCAATTTCTGCCTTCAACTTCATATGGTGTTATCCATCCAAATCTGTCTTCAAATTCTCCCCCTTTATGAGAACACCAGTCACATGTGAGGTTCACCTTGCTCTATTATGGCCTCCTCCTAACTAAGTGCATCCACAATCACCCAGTTTCCGAATTAGGTGGCATTCTGAGGTACTGGGGTTTAGGACTTCATTCAGATTTGAAGGTGGTTTAGACCCAGCAGCTGGGCCGGCTTAGTGCTTCTCAGCACATTGTCCCATGACCAGAAAATTCCCCAGAGGTCAGGGCAGACCACCTACTCCTCTGCCTACACCCAGCCACCATGGCAGCAGTGGGCTGCTGCAGTAGACCAGCTGCCGTGATGCTGTGGTTATTAGAGTCCCCTTAAGAATTGATGGGATGGCCAGGCACAGTGGCACATTCCTGCAATCCCAGCGGCTCAGGAGGCTAAGGTAGAATTGCAAGGTTGAGGCCAGCCTCAGCAACATAGCAAGAGGTTTTTTGTTGTTGTTTTTGTTTTGTTTTGTTTTAAGTGCTGGGTATGTAGCTCAGTGGTAGAGCGCCCCTGGGTTCAATCCCTGGACTAAAAAAAAAAACTAAAATTAAAAAATGGGCTAGCTAAGGTCAGCATTGTTCACAGCACTCTGGTTTCAGGCTGTGATGAGGCAGGGCCCAAGGCACACTGGTCTAGCTGCTGAGACTCAGGGTGGGCAGATCTAACTCTCCCTTTCACCAAGCAGCTCCCCTTCCCTTGCCTAAATAAAAATGTAAACTGTTTGCACTTTAAGAAGATAATCTTGATCTCATTTTAGAATTTACAAGTTGAGCATTTGGTTTTGGATTATAAAGCTAGGGAAAGTATCTCTCAGGAGTCAGGAAAGAGGGCTTTGTCTATTTCATTTATAAGAGCCATGCCCTGGGTTCCTGGGATAGTGCTGAGCATTAGGAGGCTTCTTCAGAGAAACAGGATCAGTGGCAGT